GAGAATATATGGAACGACAATCATTGTGTTTAACAAATATAGGATATGTCATGAGTTGTCATTTGCTATTTAACAAATATTGGCAGTTTTACAGATACCATTTAGAATTGTGTGTTTTATGATTTATAAAGAAATGATGCATTTAATTTAAGAAATAAACTTTACTGCTAAACTCATCCTTCACATATAATATAGTTAATGGAATGGCATATTGTAACAAAACGTGCGACTGAGTATTAAAATTGTGTTCATAGATATACATAAAGACGCTGTTTGTGAAATACGAGCGCTGTCCTGCACGTCTTTTTGCCGTCTACACGTCTGTTTTGCGACTCCTGACGTCAACTCAAATCGGCCAGTCACAGCTTCGTTTTAACATGGTGTACGATATAAACTGGCGGGTAACATAATTTTGTTTATAATTTAGAAAGGTCATGTATTGAACAAAAGTGCTGAACATTCAGTAAATTGTCATGAAGATAGCACAATGTGCAAAAAGTGGTATTTTGACTTTCATTACTACTAAATCGCTATAATTATACCAATACCCAAAGTACAAAAGAAGCAAAAGATATTTCAAATATATGACAAACTGTAAAAAGATGCTAAAAGTAAAAAGGTTAATAGCATTTTGTGGGTTAAATGGGCTTTTAAATCGGAACTTTCTATATCTAAGTTTTAATAATTTATTGCCTTAAAGGGATTTCACTGACATTTTTTAAGGAACTGGAAAAATCTTTTTGAGATTAATAATCCATTTGTTGTAGATCTAGACAAATTAATTGTATACAAAATTTCAGATGATTCGTTCCTTCCTTTTTTTCCAAAATTAGTATTCTTATGTGAAAAAGAACCAACTTTGAAAAGCGCTGTAAGGCTAGGGATAGCACAAAATGTGATTTTCCAATATCATCCAAGTATATTTCTCAGCTTTCTTTCTTTTACAAGTGCCACAGCTGATATAAGAAAGAATTTTTTTTATATCTTTTTAGGCCTTTAGAGGGGGTTTTTCCAGAAGAAACCTAGAAACAAATTTTAAAAGGATATTTTGTTATAATTGTGCGTTATATTCGATGTTAGTCTTTTATTCTAGCTATATTTGATGAAGGCAATTTATCCAAACTTAACTATCATCCCATTTTAACATGTCACGTCTGCTCGGATTTTCAGTTTTGCAGAAGTAACATACTAAAAACCAGTTCCATTTTACTTGTTGCTGAAATGAATATACAGTTTTGTCCATGTTCGTGAAAAAATGACAAGTCAACTCAACAATATTGAATGTTTCCGATTCTTGAATACACTGTGTCTGTATTACTGGCGCCGTTTGGCGGACCTAACAGAGATTGCAATATATCGCTTATATTACATAAATGTTCTAAATGTAAATTATTTATTAAATAATTCGACGTAGATAATATAAGAAGTCTAAAAATAACTTACAGCATTGTTAACTTTTGAACATCAAACATAAATTTGTTTTAAGTCGTAAGAAAACGAAACTCACAACAACAAAAAATGAGATTAAAAAGTCAAATGAATCAATTAGATGAAATAAAAGATAAAAATAAAACGCAATTTAAACAGTTCCATTTATTCATATACTCATATTTATGCATGGACAAAACTTAATAATAACTTTTACATGTCAAGGACGTAATTGATAACAATTTGGAATAACTAAATCCAGATCGTTTTTTTAAATACATGCTTTCAGAAACACTTACAAAACCGGTGATGAAGTAATAATTGAATGCCTTTAAGAGACCAAATCATGAAAATCTGTGTTCAAGAGCCATTCCCTTTAAGTAACTGCAGGTCGTATTACATCACAGAACCCGTCTTAATTAGCCTCAATGTAAATATTTCGTGCTGTTCCTTTCACACAGTTTATTTTCTTATAAATAAACGTGACTTGACTAAATCAGTTTAATTTGTCAATTAATTTGATTTGAATGCTCACGCGTTCGGTCAAATTTCAGCTGACGAAATTGCAATAATGCACTAAACAGTAAACAAAATTCAAATAAACTACTTTGAAATTACAAAGAAAACATTATATTCGCAAGGAAAATTGAATAAAGCAATTTTTGGATTCACAAACGTTTCAAACGAACTTCTGACAGGTCTCCATTAGAACTGAAATAGAACACTGCAGTTTTCTTATTAAATCCGCTTGCTTGAAAGAAAACAAAGACAAAGCAATTAATATATTCAGACAAATTGAAAGTTCTTTAATTAAATCAGAAATCAGGAAAATCGTATTGAAACTGAAATTGGAATTTGAATAAGATATGATTTTTTTATTCCTGCTAAACTACAATGTGCGTTACACGTGTGATATAATTGTACATTGTTTTTGTCACGTGTATTTCATTTCGTTATAACCAAACAGCACTATGTTTATAACGAAATTAATTTCATTTAAAGGAATCAATCATTTGCTTTTTCCTTAAAAAATGATTTCCGTTTTATCAATATTTAAACTGTAGTTATATTTGGATATTTAGTAAAAGAATGTTGCAGGACATACATGTAGAGGTGTAATCTTACATATATATAACAACACTCTTTATCAATAAAAGACAAGAGTAATGTCTATAATATACCTTCAAGTTGATTATTCGTCATTAAAGATAAATTATACTGTGTGTTAATGTTGTCTTCTTTCGCAGATATTCTTTAAGTCTAAAAATAGGTAAATATGATGAGCATTATCGTCATATCAAAATGTTTGCACCACTGTGTCACATTAAAGGTTCCATGATAACCGCCGTATGAACACATCTGTTTTTCTTTACGTTTAAATTCTAGAAAAGTAAATTCACTTAGCTTAAATCAATTCGTAGCAGTTATTTAACAATGTATGTTTCTCTTATATAACGTATGATACTAAAACAATAGTTATATTACCAGCCGCTGGATATCATAAATTTCTTCGCATGTTCTTTCATAATAAATATATTAGTAAATTTTATCAGAGGAAAAGATTAACGTTATTAGTTTTGTGTAAGATGACATATATTTTCAGCTACCTACACTGAGGTTTAAGAAACTTTGAAATCAAACATTGTATATGATAGAATACAAAGAAACACCATGTGATCACCTGCATGTGTGTAATAAATAGTGAAACAGTAAAATAATGAGCACAATTAAAAAAGATACATACATAGATGATAAAGTATTATCTTATATTCGTAATATTGTCGGGTAATTGCAAGACCATACTATATTAAATTAACAATTGATATTTTCAAATAATATTTTTTAATTTAAATTGCTTTTGATTTTACATACGATCGATGTATTCAGCTAATGAACTGTATATTTCAAACATAATTTCAAAAGACTGTTATCCCAAGACATACAATTTAAAATGCGATTTACTTAAATAGACTATAACATGAAATGATATTTTTATGACGCATAAATAAATTGATATAGAAGAGAAAACGTTTTGTTATGGACACCTGTTAGTAATAAAATTGATAAACAGACATCAATATTCTGTAGACTGAGGTAAAGTAATATTTCAAATGGAGATGTTTTGTAATATAATGGTCACAAATTCTATCAGGTAATAGCATTTAGATTGGATTTAATCGCCTATTATCACGTTGTATATTGTTCATTTTCTTGATAAAATTGCATTCTTTGGGAATTCTTATTTCATAATTAGTTTCAAAATGTATTTTACGAGTTGTTTTCTTTACATAACTGGCATTTTGATAATTCCACTTTGCAAATGTGATATCTATGTGATTAAAATATCAGATATTTGGGTATAAAAAGAAACAATAAAAGAAACAATAACATAGATAGAACGAAACTGTTTAAAACAGGCTGTTTTTTTTATTAAATACTTAAATTATTTATTATATTAGGGTTATTGTCTTCACATAATATACGTTATTTCTAACAAAATGGCATATCTTTTAAATGTTATTAATTACAATTTTCTTTGATAGAGTGAAGCATATTGCAATGTATATAGGCATACAAATAGAGTCCAACACGGCAAAATACAAAATGTTGCAGGCTCGGTTTGATTTAGCGTGTTCATGGACGGTACTGTTAAGTGCAAACTACCGTTCACCCCCCCCCCCCAGGACCGGCTTAAGCAGAAATCAACATTAAAACATGTAATTGTAAAATTTTCAATTGATAAACATCCGCAGATATGTTCATACAGCAGTCATCATGGAACCCTCAATGTGACAAAGTAGTGCCATTCCATGAAAAGCGGCATATGGTCCACAAGTAATAAAGGCGTGTGCCCTAAACTAGAAACAATGGCCGGAACTAAACACAATGATTTTTAAAGGGGATAAGAGGTTATAAAACCTTCTTATACAGATACGACGTCCACAGACAAAGTTAAAAAGCAGACAACATATCCTAAGGGTGATTCAAGGGATACAATAGTTTCATATTGGAATTCAAAGGGTCCTAGTGACGGAGGAAAGAAACGCATGATAGTTATCTTATAAAGTGATGTTAGATAAATTTGATCATTTAAATCAGCCTTTATCGATATCATGCATTGTGAGCAAAAATACATATTAAGCATTGTGCAAGAAAAACAAATGTTTGTTAAAGACAGCGGGAAGATACAATAATTGTATGAACATGTGGCTTTTCATATGTTTGTTTTCGTTTTCAAATGTAAACAACATAATACCCACCAATCTATGTAAGAAAATGTTTCTAAAGTAAAACGATTTGTTATCGTTTTTGATAAATATTTTCTTTTAATGTTTTGAAATTTAATTCATAGTTCATAAGAGTGCTTAAACGTGTGAGATAATAAACATAAATTTATACTCGTTCATGTTCATTGTAAAAGGCGTTTATTCATATAAAAAACATATAATTATCGTTTTCACAAAATATTGGTATAGCCAAACTCTTTTTTTGTGTTGCTGAACAATAAATTACAAATCTACGTGACCAGTTAAGAATAAAGTGATTTGTATCCATATTATGGAAAGACCATTTTTTGTGTTGTTGTTCATCAGATATTTCTTCCAGAGAAAGTAGACAATTATAAAAAGAGCCTCTAGATGAAGAAATTCCAATATCGGAAAACGGCTGCTGACGGATGAAAACAGATAACTGTAGCAATTCGCTGAGGCCAGAGGGCGCATTAAAAACCAAGAGAAGACACTTCTTATTTAACTTTTACGGATTTTCAGAAACAGTTAACAGACAATATAGTTAACACACGGGAATTTAAATGTTTTTAAAACAAACAAAAATTAAAAAGAAATAAAATAAAAATAATAAGTTCAAACTATTTGAAAAGGAATAAAATTTTAGCAAGGATTAAAAAAACAAAAACAATGAAAGTTTAAAGTGAAATGCTGCTTGTCATGGAACTGTTTCTAAATACATGTGGATAATACACTGATGATATTAATTTAACGCATTCATTAATAGTTTATTTTGAAACCGATATCTTACATTTGAGAATAAATATCTTAATAATTAATCGGATATCTTTTTTGTCATTTAGTTGAAAAACCATGAAATAAAACAGTATGGGTTGTGCAAACTCTTTACAATATAAGAAGAATTCATTAAAACACATCAGTCCAAACAAAGACCCAATTAAGACACGGATAATATTTACTTTGAAATGCAATACAGACATAACTCCAGTGGAAAGAAAAACGGTTCAGCAAACCTGGCCAACATTGGCCAAAGACTTACAAGGTAACGGTTTACAGATTTTTCTAAGAATATTTGAAATATCGCCGGATGTCAAGATCCTGTTCCATGTTGAAAATGTTCGGCATTCACAACTTGCAAGAAATGCCACAATTAAGGCGCATGGGAAACGTTTTATTAATGCCATCGGTTCGGCTGTCGATAGTTTAGAGGAAATTGACAAGGAGGACAACAAACTATGTGAATTTCTATTTACCCTTGGACAACAGCATCAGAATTACAAGGGATTTAAACCAGAATACTTTGAAATATTTTATGAAGCGTTAATGTGCCAGTGGGAACGCTGCATGGGTGATCGGTTCACGACGGAAGTAGCAAATGCATGGAGTCATTTGTTTGTTTTCTTGATGGAAAAGCTAAAAGAAGGATATTATTCGCATGAGGTATCATTTGAAGCTCACTTAAAAAATCAAAAGCATTACAGTTAACATTGTGACAAATAGCGTACAACAAAATCTGTGATAAGAATGTTAAAATATTTTCATGTTCTAGTGAATTCGTTATTAACGTTCTGGAAATTTTACTCAGTCTGCTAATATAGCTGGTGAAAATGTTTTGTATAAAGTAGAAATAGTTTAAAGAGATTAAATATTTACATATTTGATGAAGTATGATTATTATTCATGACACGAAACATTGTTGTATGGTTATTATTTTGCGTATAGATAGATATGTATGTTGATTAAAAGATGAGGGGAAAAAAGTGTTGTATTGTTGTAAACCTTCCAATAACAGATTAGAAAATTAAAAAAAAAAGAATTATGATGACTGATTTACATTATGTCGAATTTTTGCTTTGAAGCTTTTACAAAGTCCAGCTGTGTCTTTGCTTGGTGTTTTAACATTTTCGCAAAGGCAAAAAGCAAATTGATGATTAGGTAGCATTAAGACACAATCATAAAATTTGTGTTTTTGACTTTTATTCGTCGTTTCTAAGCATAATTGCATATTTTCTTTTTCTTTGCATTTTTTTTTTGTTTTCTTGCGTTTAGTAAATGTTTTTCTTTTTCATTATTGCATTGAAGCATTTTCGCACTGTTTTGTCAATTGCATTGTTAAAGCGAATGAAGAAAAAATACACGTTCTTCTATATGTTACAGCATATGGGCCAAAGGCATTCAATGTAACCGTCAAGTTGATAAATAATTGAAATTTACAATTATGGCTTGAATAATATAAAAATAACATTTTATTAAAATATTATTTAAGCATGTTTTGTAAATTTATTTCTGTTTCTAATGATATGCGAAAGCGCTTATACAGCCTGGACGATAATGCAACAAAGCAAAAATGTTACAATGCAACAAACAATATCACGTTTCAAAAAAGTCAAAATTTAACAATTCGAAAAGCAAATGTCACTACAAGACGGATGAAGTGCGAAATCACAACACATTTATCTATTTATTTACTTTTCATTCGCCTTTTTGCTTTTTGCCTTGAAAATGCGAAACAGAAATAAACAATCAAATTGGAGTTATTGTATTTGTGTATTATCGCACATCCGTGGCAAAATCAGCAAAAATACGACATTGCGCAAATCAGCCATAAAATATTGAATTCATGTATTAAAACCTCTTTTATCAATTCAATAGTAGTTATCTTACAATTATAGCGATTCAAACAATTACGGCACCAGTTTTTAATACACATTTCCAGGTACACTGTGTCTTTTTTTCAACAATATGAAAATAATACCTAAATTTTGTAGTTTGTCAAAATAGTAAAATACACTGATATCGACACATTCAATCAATCACGACAGACCAAATACTGTTCTGATTATATTCCTCTTTACACATCTCCACCTTTGTCATAATCTTTTTACTTCACTTTTGTCATTATCTTTTTACTTCACTTTTGCCATTATTTTTTTACTTCACTTTTGTCATTAACGTTTTACTTCACTTTTACTTTACTTTTGTCATTAAGTTATTTTACTAACTCTTACTGACGAAAAAACTCTTAGGATTAAAATGAAGCTGTCTAAATAAAATCAATAAAGTCTTCCCTTTTGTATAGATACTGTAGATAGATACATTGTTTATTATATTGACAGGTGTTGAAACATACAATATGAAAAAATTATTACAAAATGAAATAAATCAATCAACCCCCAGCCCATTCGGCTTTAATAAAACATTTGCATTTGTTTAACAAATTCAACTGAATAGATAGAGAAACAAAGAATTCGAAATGATATGAACGCACTACTTTATTCATATCTTCCCTGTTATTTGCAGATGCACATTTTAGGTAATATATTATGCCTTTGAAAGTTAGATATACAGATACCACGATAGGCATTTATTATGATGTTTTTACTGTGTGCTGGAATTCAAAAATAGTTTTCAAGAATCTTTAGCTTATGTTGATATTATATTGAACTGTTTGAACTGCGGATAAAAACTTGTTTTTGAACAAAATGTTATAACTCATCATATAAATGTTCATACAAATTTAACTGAGGATTTTAAAAACAGTGGTTCCATTGTAACATTTTGTTTTGTTTTTTCGTTTGTTTGTTTATTTTATGTTTTTTTTTCTCAAAGTCCTTATGGAAAATGTCCCAATTGTAGACCTACCTGTCTTAAATATTTTCCAGCAGAAAATAACTTATCGGGCACTGCATATAACAACAGGTATCAAATACAAAAACTATTCTAATCCAATAAAATAATTTCAAAAGAAATTGTAATTCATTTAATATAATAAACAAATACAAGTTTAACGTCAATATAAGGAAGGAAAGAAATACAAATCGAGAACGAGTTAGAACTACAAAATAAAAATTTGAAATTCAAGACTAATACATAGAACTGTACATACTTTAATGAATAACGAGTTTAAAACAACTGAAGGGTCGAAATTAGTTTAAACATAGTTTATATCAAACAAATATACGCATTTACAACTTACAAATAAAATTTACAACACATGAAATGCGCTGAAGATTTAAGAACCGAAAGCTAATGTCGATATAGGTCTAAGCCTAGTATTTATTTGCTAAAATTGGCAGTGCACTTACGAACTTTCGCTTTATGTATATGCAGTTTTTCGATATAGCGGAAGTCAGTGCGCGAGCATGCGCTTTGCCATATCTCAATCAGTTACCGTTCAAGTGCTATGAATTAAGCGACACTTAGTGTACATGACTTTTACAACTAAAATATCAGACAAACACATTAAAACAATACACATAAACTACACATAGTTGTTTTCCATATTAATATTTTGCATTTGCAACAGACAGTCAAACAAATATCTCAATATTCTTACCGATTTAATGTATTGTTTACATGTGATGACAGCAGCGCTGTGTGTTAGATTACTTTCGGTTCAGAAAATTCATTTGTTTACCATCAAAACTCATATGTTTACCAAAGGAACCATATATAGATAGAAAGCAAATTATACAAAGGTAAGGAAAAAATTGTCCGTTTCTTGACAAAAAATCGAAAAAATAAATACAAAGTCTTTTAAAAAGGTCCCTTCTTTGAGTTCATTTAAAAGGGGAATAATTTGGTTGAGTTTTAGGCAGGGAAACAAGGAGTTATCATTCGTGGCTAGGGAATATGGCCGACTGAAATCATGCAAGCAAGTTTGTAAGTGCAGTGTGTAAATGTTTGCATATGGATATGTTTGGAAGTTAACAAGAGTCGAGATTAATAAACGTGTTAGGGTTATACTTAAGAAAACATACTGAAAGAAACGTACTCGTACATTACTATTTTTACGCGAAAAAAAAAGAAAGTAATAACTTGAATATATATTAATTGTATTATTGACATACACCAGATATTTGTAATACAGTACATGACAACGTAATAAATTATAATGCAATTATTTAATTGTAATTTCAAATTTGTTACTGAGCTAAAAGACATAATTTTTTTGGCGGCCGTTGTTAAACTGAGAAATGCGCACTTTTTTTATTCATTTCAGATGTAAGTCATTATTCTGCAAATGAAGTACAATTTAAAAATGATTGACAGAATGATTTACTCACTGCAACAGTTTCAGAAAAAGTTAGCCAATAATATTGTATTGCCTGACATTTGTTAATTTAACGCAGTGATTGTTGTTGCTTTTCGATTACATATAAAAATGAATAAATGGATATAGGATGCATTGTCATATGTGTGATGGATTTTTGACGTTTGCTAGCTTTGTACTAATGTCAAACAACTTATATCTTGGCTGTAAAGTCAATTGAAATAGAACTGTTTGAACTTTCCATCTGTATATAAAGTGTAATTTTATTCTATAACAATAGTACTTTATTATTGTAAGGTTGAAATAATTAAGTAATCTCCAAGTATATATGTTGTACGTTTGCACGATAGGATTTATGTACGTCAGACATTGAGTCATCTCAAGTAATTGGATTTCTTCTTTTAAAGATATACCATGCTCAAATTCGATATCAGAAAATATTTATAATTGCCACACAGTCTCTATGTAAATATGAAATAAACATGTTTTGACTTCACACAAAGTGAATATGTCATGTTTAAAACCCTACACACAAAGGTCGTCACAATATGTATATTCAGTGTCGTTAAAAAACTGGCAGTTTCTTTTGAGAAAAGACCAACTTTACTTGTCCTGTAATAGAGAACCTAACTTCCATTTTATTTAGTTCCGCCCATTGTTTTCTCGTTTAGGCCACACGCATTTTTATACTTGGGGACCATATGCCGCTTTTCATGGAATGGCACTAACATGTCACATTGAAGGTTCCATGATAACCGCCATATGAACACATCTGCGGATGTTTCAAAATTCTAAATTTTACCAGTTCATTTTAAATGTTGAATTCTGCTTAAGCCGGTGCTAAGTGGCGTGGACGGTAGTTTGCACTTGACAGTATCGTCCATGAACAGGCTTAATCAAACCGAGTCTGCATTGCCGCGTAGGGCTTTCGTTAGGGATTCTTATTTCATTCTATTTTATTTCCAATATAGTTTATTTTTCAATTTTTATGAAGAATTTAATAGGTTTTAATAAATTTCTTAGATTAAATTATTTTACTAAAAGATGAACATAGTATACCTTAAATTAAATTAAATTTTCCTTTATTCCCTTTTCATTTATATTTGGGCTAAAATGTGTTTATGCATCAATTAATTACTGAACAAGTACAGAGAAAAAAAGAGCGCTTTAAAATTAACGTAAGAATTAAGGCTAAATATACATAGAATCTGGATCCTCTTATATAAGTCAGTATTAAATTTAGTATCCAGAAAATAAATGTTTGCAACGTATAAACAGATAAATGCTTACTTACGTTTTATACGATTTCCCATAAGAGGTCAAACATCATGTTCTAACCGTCTAATAATGACTTAACTTCTAAACGAAAAACAAATGAAACGTTGCTCATCGGGTCTTATGGTCATTTGTCTTCCGCTGATTCAGAAATGAGATTAATTGCCGAACCCTTGTGATGAATTAGTATTCACTTGCTAGTTATCCCGCAAAAGCCGATTACGTTGTGAATGGCCGTATTGTGTTAAAATAGACGTCAAATAAGCAAGCAAACCAAACAAACCATTCACCACTATAAACATCACTAGGAAAAGACTGTAGAGAAAACAAAATATATATAATATATAAAAGGTTGAGAAAAAAATGGATCAAATGTTTTTTCCATATCTTTACGCTAAACTTCACAAACGTAAATGTACACAGTTGTTTATTTATTTTGCATATAAAGCAATTTCTTTAGGCAA